GAATACCGAACACTCGCAAAACATGGGGCTACTACTGGAACTCATCACCTCCACTATCAAAAAATCATTGAGCAGATAACGAACCAATAGGCGGAAAATATTATGCTATGCGAAAAGGACGAACATTCGGAATATTTACTGAGTTGGAAGAAACTAAGAACAGGTAATGAGACATTCGGGAGCAGAATACAAATTCTTCGGAACAATAACGGAGGCAGAAGAATTCCTTATGGGGAAATAATAGCAAAATAATTTTATAGTCAATTAACGTTAATCTTTCATAAAGCATAACGCACAGTGAAGTTTGGTATTAAAAGATATTGTTGTTTAAATGAGCAAACATAGACTATTGTTTAAATAGATATTTATTATCATTATCTTGAACGCATACTAGAGTTCAAAGTTAAGTTTTGTATTTTAGTATGGAATGGGATACATGTTAATTGTCACATTGCTTACATTTACCTTTGCAAATTCACACAATCTTTATGATAATAAAAACAACGTATATACAATATCTTGGAGTTTAACAGTGAGAAGATAATCTTTTCTCGCATTGTTTGTTTCAAGGTCCATTAGTGTTACGTACATTATACATGTAATTCGTTTAACTACGTACACGTAATACATGAACATGTTTCTATCAATCAAAATACATGATATGTAATATATAAATAGTGTGTCGAAACAAAGGTATCGTTATTTGGTATGACAAGTATGTCATACTTACTCGGAAGAAGGGTAGTATGTTTGATATAATTTTCTGTATCATACGATATGTTATACGCATATCGATCGAGATTTATAAAGAATTTACCCATGACGATAGTGGCGAATGACTTTCTTTTCACACAAACAATTTACCCACGACAAGTATCGCTATATAAACTTGACTTGTCCTCAGAAGGTTTGTCTATCCAATTCATCATGTCGTCGTTATCAGAAGTTCTTAATCGTTATCTCATGGAGGATTCAAGATTAAATGCCATTCTGCGATTTATATTTTATTTATCTGAAAAAACAAAACGAAAACTTAATAAATATGTGATGAACGATCTAATCATTAAATCCTATCGAAAGATAAGCGATAACAACAAACAAAAAGATGATGAACTTAGAGTTAAGTATTACTTTCATTTTTATATATATTAATGATGGAAATATAATATAAATAAGATAAGATAAACTTGGTTGTTGAACGGGGTACTCTTTAAGAGTCGCTTAGCAATGGGTCCGATCTGGTTGTTGAACGGGGTATTCTCAATGAGCTCAACGAGAATCGCTTAATAGATCATACCCAAACGGGGTACTCTTAAGAGTTACTTAGTAGGGGCCTAGTATTTGACCTTATTTCTCATATTCCTGAGTGGAAATGGGCGATTGAAATCGTTATGAATGGCTCGTGTTTCAAAAAACATCATAAACGATTTGAGAATGGTATTTTTTCTTTTTTCTTTATAGTTATATTTCTTTTATTTATGCTCATTTTTCTTTTTCAAAAAATAAAAGTGGTATATATAATCAAATTCCAACAAAATCGTATATTATATTGGACTTCAGAGAGAAAAAATCAATTTCGAAATTATTTGCAAATACTTGGTATATCACGCCAAATTCCAATTATACAAAATATACTATTTTGGATGGGGATTCATATTCCAAATTTGATATTATATTAAATTCCGATACATAACAAATTTTCTTGGCAGCAGTTAGTCTTATTCAAAAATACAATTGATTATCTTTAAAATGATATAAAATTTATATAACTTGAATTTTTTAATTTTCATATATATATAGCGTAAGAAAAATTTTTTTATTTTTCAATCAAAACATTTTAAGATGTCACAACTCTTGTATTATTTTTTCAAAAATACAATCAATCAGCTTTAAAATGAAATTATTATATATAAAAAATTTACATTTTTTATGTTATATAATTTTTGGACCAGGCGTTACTTTTTGGGGTTCTGTTCTTCATTTTGGAATTCGAAACGATGCACTTCAATTCGGAGTTTACGTGAACTCCAAACGACGAACGTAAAACGGTAAACGATTTTTTTATCACCTTGGTGATAATCATTAAGCCTGGAAAACAAAAGCACTGCCAGGTCCATTCTTACTGGATTTGGAATTTCGAATAAGGAAAGTTGAATAACAAATTTCTTTGGAATTTATTAAAGGTCAAATTACAAGTATGTATATTATCGTTATAATTACATTTATTGGTGCGACTAAAAATACATTAACGTTAAATAATTTATGAAGCTGGACATGGCACAAATCCGCTATTTGGATTAAAAATGCCAGTGATAGACACAGTATTACGAACACATGTAGCGCCACCAGAGGTATGTACATTTACGCGGAAAGAATAAGTTCCTGTGGTTGGCGTTGGACCAAGATCCAAATTGAAGAATGGCACGTAACCTTGAAGAGCGGGATCAACCGAACCGCTCCATTGTGTTTTTACAAGATTCCCAGCTACGTCAAGTAAATCCACTGATGTTACTTGAAGAGCGCCAGCTGAGTTGTTTCCAGCGTCGAATGAAATTTGATAGCATTGCCCTAGTTAATTAGAAGGAATAGATCAATATCGTTAAAATTAATAATTAAAACAAGTAAGTAATGATTTGTTTGTTTGCGCACCATGAGTCCATTGAAGACCACTTTGAGTTGGTGAAGTGATACGAAAGCCACCACATGCGTCTTGTCGTTTATCAAGTGGGGCTGCAAAGACAGAGGAAGCAAGTAAGACGAGTACGAAAATCAAAGATCTCATTATTGTAGATTTAAAGCGTCAGCGAAGTGGATTTTTTAATGAGTTGGGAACTTGCAAGTGGATTTTTTGATGAGGAGTCTCGCTGTCTTTTTATAATGTTTTTTTTTCAACTTTTACCGTATAGACTTTATTTTTAACATCAATAAAACATATATATTTCATATTGCTTAGTTTTCTGGGAACCTCGCGTTTTTTCGGTATTTTCAACTTGCGTGTGTATACTTTATTTTTAGCATCAATGAAAACATATATATTTCATATTGTTCATTTTGAAAGTCATGACGATATCATTTCGGTTTATTAGGTTAGAATTAGTTAGTCTTATCCGAATTTCATTTATAATTAATTTAAAAGGCGTTGTCAGGCTTGGAAATTTCTGTTGTTATTTAAGGAATAGCATTAATGTTAATTTACAATAAATGATCATATTGTTTCCTGAAAATAGCGATAATGATAGCAATAGGCAGTGCAACTTTATTTTTATCGATCATCACATTATGTACAAAAATAGATGTACATAAATAGATACAGTAATATTGATACGTTATACGTCATATTTATTTTCATAAGAAATGGTGGTCGTTGTGGTTGCGTCGATGGCGGTGGTGGTGGTGGTGGTGGCTTCAAAAATCTTGTTCTAAAGGAGGATATACGCGCATTTAGTAAATAGTAAAGAAAAAAATTGCAATAAAAAGAGAGCTTGTTTGCAAATTTCCCAGAATCCATGTCAAAACAAATCAAAAATGAAAACCTTTATTGCTTTACTTGTTTTAATTATTTCCTCAGTTTTCGCCGCACCTTTTGACAAAAGACAAGAGCCAGACGCTTGTGGTGGATTCCGTATCACTTCACCAAATCAAAGTGGCCTTCAATGGACTAATGGTATGTAAAGTCCACAGAACTTTCCATTTTTTCAAAAAATCCCATTCATGCTCATGTTTCTCAAAAAATAGGAGAATGCTATCAAGTTTCATTCGACGCCGGAAACAACGCAGCCGGCGCTCTTAAAATAACGTCAATCGATCTAGTCGACTCGAACGGAAACGTCGTAAAGCCACAATGGACTGGTTCGGTGGATGCTACTCAAGGCTACGTCCCAAACTTCAACTTGAATATTCCTAAAACCGGAACTTATAACTTCCGGGTGAATGCACAGCCAACTGCTGGTGCTAAGTGTACTCGTGACACAGTCACTTTTACGGGAACTTATAATCCTAATAGCGGATCTGCGCAATGTTAGATTTTTTTTCTTTGTGTTAATGGTTCGACTTTGATACTGTATATACATGTTTAAATGAAAATTTCGAAAGGAAAAATAAATTAAAAATTAAGAAATCATCAATATTTTTGTTGAAAAGAACTGGTTTTATATCTCTGAACCCCAAATAATTATCTGCATTACTATACTGATCAGATGAAAGTCTTGGATCATTTGAGCATCTCATGGAATGCAGTGTTGAAGCTATAACTAAATATGCATTTTTCCGGTTGAACAAGGTTTTAAATTTACCAAAGAAATCAGAATTCCTAAGTTTATAATAATACATTACCAAAAAAAGCCATGATCAGTATTCATGTTTCAAAAAGAAACAATGTGAATTTGATTTTTGTGGAGATAACAAAGCCTAGCAATAAAGATTGATCCATTGAAGAGACTTGGAGCTCTAGTATTAGTGGTGAACCTCTAGGGGAATTCCAGATTCTCTAGTAAATTTTATAAACTTCAAGAAAACCACTAGGAAATCCCTAGGGGTTCACCGAAAAAAACCACTAGTACTCTTTTTACCTGCGAGAAAAGCCTGTAAATTATACTAGAATATTAGAGAAAAATGTGTTTTTAGGAATTCTTTGAATTCAAGAATACTGGTTCAAAATGCACCAGTTCACACAATAGAAAAATAAAACTGGTTTCCTAAAAAGCAGATAAATAATCTTCAAACTTATATTCTACATGTATTACAGTATAGTTTGTTAATATTAAAAAGACTTGTCTAATTACTATTCTATTTATTATTATTAAGCTTTTTCTCATTTACTTTACTATGTTTATGTAAATGACCTGATACGTATTAAACTTTCTTCTAAACACACAAAAAATATTCTAAAACACTCTCGATCACTAATTGTATTGTTTCTTCCCACTATAGCAAATCAAAAAAAGGCATCCAGTAACGAACGACACAATGGCCATTCCTGAAAACATATATGGCAACAACGGATCTCGCGCCAACGGTACAAAAGCAAGTGCTAGCGCTGATCCAATACTGCTTGTTAGTAGGTTTATTGCCATTACGAGAGATTTCATGGAGGGTGGGGACTATTTTTGTAATTATCAAGAAATATAAAGTCACAATAAGAAAATACTAGCGAGTAATCACGAATCAATAAAGTACCTTTGAGTATGCGTAATCGAGACTTGTAATCGCTAAGAAAACTATTCAAAGAAGCTGATTAACTTTATATCAAAAGTAAACAAAGAATGCAAAAAAATAAAATCACCTTCAGAAAATGCAACAATCACATAAATCGGAGCCTGCCACCAAACACTAATATAATTCGGGACTTTACTACCACCACTCTCGACATTACACCGCGGAAACTGATAACAAGGCGGCTTCAAGTAAATAAGATGCTGAAGAATAGCTGCAAAGCTCATCGCCACAGTAATAAGCATAAACCCGATGAAAATTCGTGTAATTGGCGATGGCTCCATGTGACGTCGTCTCAGCATCGGATAAAACACTTTATCCATAAACGGAATCAAAATTATTAGAGTTATGTAGTCAACTTGGCTCATCATGTCATTTGGAAAGATGCCGGTTTCCATCGTGGCAGCTTGCGAGACCAAGTTACTTGACATTTGGCCGTAGCACATCCAGTAGATTGATGGAAATAGGAGTACTTTAGAGGCGTGAATTGTAGTTCGTAGCTCTTCGACAAATTTGTCGTCCCATATAATATTTGAATGGTGAGGTTCTGGGATTTTTGATGGTTTTGCATTTTCCAAATTGAATCCACGGGCAATTGCCATACGAATGACTAGAACTGATTTCCATAGTTGCAGCCCACCAGTTTTTGTTTCTATAAACCACCGACGACTCCAAGAGTATAAGACTACTCCAATAGAGAAAATTAGTGCCATTATAAGAAAAGCTAACCAAAACGAATGATATTTCTCAATATTTGTTGTTATAGTCGGTGCCAAATAGCCAATCGCCAATGTCAAATACAAATAATGATAAATAGAAGAGAGTGTAAGTTTCGGATCCACAATAACTCTCTCGCCCGTTCTCAAAGTACGAATAAAATTTTCTTTTCGTGGATACTGTTCACCCACCATCACCAACGAAATAGATTGCAATCCATCTCCTAGTCCAGTTACTATAATACCCGCAATCAAACCCGGATAAGCGACTCCAGCTTTGATTGCTGCTGGTGTCGAAGTGACCGTCAATATCAACAACCCCGAAACAAAAATAAAACTGAACAATATTATCGTGTGAAATTTGCTTAGATATCTGTCGGCTATTATTGCTGCTATTACTGGAGTACCCCACGACCAGAATTGAAAGAAAGTTGACCAGGCGGTGGCTGTTTGTTGTCCTTTTCCTAGTGCGCCGGGTTGATCTCCGGGATGTTTAGGTGGTGGGAATTGAATATAATTTTGGAAAATAAATGTTGAGCCGGAATATGCAAAAGCTTCTATGAAAGCGAATGCGATGTTGTACCATGCAGCTATTCATTAACGTTAAAAATAGTGTCAATTTCTTGGCTTTGATTTAATTCATTAATTTTTAATTTACCAGCTGGTATTCGATCCGACACTCTACGCAAAGATTTTAGTTCTATTTCTTCTATTTCCGTAGGATGCTGGTACTCTACATTATCTCTTGTGGCTATTGATTCCAATTCATACTCTTCCTGCTTATGATTATCGTCACCACCTTTGTATGGGATATTAATGTTCATTTTTTTTTACACAAAAACGAAAAATGTTTATCGTTATTAGAGGATAGGCAAACAAGGAAAAATGTTGATAACTTTGTTTGGAGTTTATCAAATTGTACAAATCAGGTAAGTCCACGTGTTATCGATTTAAAGAAAAATTAAGTGTAACCTATTTACGTATACGTATTGTTAAAACGCATAATATATGAACGAATTCTGGACGTTTATAACGATAATCACTGTCCGGTACCGTAATTTGCCGCATAAACCACCCCGCGTAGAAATTTAAACCTTAATTAATACAAGACTGTTAATTAGTAATCAAAATTTTTAAGAAATTGCACCGTGAATCTTAAATTTTCTACAAAGGGAGGTGGTTTATACGGCAAATTACGGTATCTGAATAGATCTATAAATACATGTATACTTTATTTATAGACTCGTCAGCTTTATTTAGCACTCGTTTGATATCTTCAATGTCTGACATTTTTTATCGTATCGAGGGGAAAGTGAGCAAGGGTTCCAAAGATCACTTGACATGCATCATAAAGTCAGAGGTATATTGTGACTAGTTGCATTTATCAATATCATATACATGTACATGTATACGTACTGTACTGTATTAGAAATTAGAGCTAGTGTAAAAGCGTGGATTCAGTATGGGAACATATACATAAATATATCCATTGAAAGATATTTGTAATATACAATCTAGGAATTCAATAAATATTGTTCGATTATTAAGAATCTATTAAGGAATTTATGCTACAATTTGGACGGAGTCAGTCGAAAAGGGACAATTATTATAATCGAAAAATTTAAATAATCTAATTTCACGTAATTGAAAAAAAAAACATTTAAAAGAAAATTTCAACTAGTGCCTAATATTAATACTTTGTTATTTTGTTTTGCGTTTTCTGTTAATTCCTCAATAAAAATTCGATGTTTCTGAGCTGTTTCTTTTAAATTTTGTGCAAAATGAATGATTCGTCGATAATTGGATCAAGTTCTTTTTTATCGTCAATTATAATTTGCAAAAACATTGATATATACTTTATAAAACTAAGTTTACACTTGCTTTGACATATATTGCCTTCTCATACAAGACTGTACAAAATATTTATATAATTATAAAGTAATTAGTGATCCGTAGAATTTAGTACACATTGCTTGAGTTTAATTGCATTTCTTTTAGCAAATTAAATTTGTCAGTGAAATGATGATATCAAAATTTGTGCACTTTATAGCTACATAGTAATTTTTGACAAAATTGTAAACCTAACGCTAATTCTTCGATCAAATACCGATACAGTACGTAATTTCATTGTTGCAAACTGCTTCGGAAAAATAGCACATCAATTCTTTTGCGACAAATTCTTTGATTCTAAATCGATTTGAGTTTGTTGATAGGTTTGGTATTCTTGTTTGTTTAGAACTCATTCAGTTATGAGATGAAAAGTGTAAAATTACTATATTATGGTAAATGATTGGATAAAAATAAATTGCTTTCCATAATTTCAGTCGAATCTTTCCATCACGTCATCTTATTATCAATAGGTTATTCATAAAATTATCAAATTCAATTTTTCACGACAATAACAAACGAGCAACAAGAGCACAAAGAATACATAACGATAAGAATTAGAAATTTTTTTTAACAAATTAGCAAATGATAGATTTATCAATAATCATACAGTTTGTTTCTGTTATACAACAACAACAATAATAATAATAATAATCGTTTCTTCTGTTTATTAATTCGGTTCATGATTTAATGATATTGTAAAAAAAAAGTTTTCTTGGCAGGAATACAACCAAACATCTCAGTTCGTCTAAATGTTGCCTAACGCCCAAGTGATTGCACATGCATTTTAATGTCTATTCATCATACTCTTATTAATATATACATGTAAATTTTTATCCTATCGCTGTGATAAAGAAATACATTATCATATTCTAACTTTGTTACATGTGCATGTCGATGTAACATGTACGTATATCGATATCTCAAAGCATAACGATAAAGCATAACTTATTGTTCATTATATATGTACGTAGCATACAATAAGTACAAGTATAATGAGCTGTTCCATAACCAGAAAATTAAATCACTAGTTGTACAACAGTCTGTATCAACTCTAAATCAAATCATATGACACTTAAAAGTCGAATCGGTTAAGGGATGCGCAAGTCCGGTGATCTGTCCGAGAAACAAGCCAGTGAGAATGCGTAAATTTTTGATCAACCCGGAAAAAACAAATCCGAAGCACGAATGTAAAAAATGGAAAATATGGAAAATGAATGCTTTAATCTATCTTGGAGCACTAATTAAAAACGTCAGGGAGGCAATTTTATGTATGTCCTCGTCCTTCACTTTAACCCTAACCGTATCGTTAAATCAATCTTTAACTGTGATAAACACGTACAACGTCCCTTTTTTAATTTATTATGCATAAATGCATTGTATGCATAATGTGCATAATATGCATCCTATTCGGTTGTTATTTGTAATATTATTTAAGGCTCGAATTCCAAGACAAACTCGCATTTTTTAATTCGTTTGATATTTAATTATTCTCTCGTTCCACCATAAACATAATTTCCAATAAACCAACCAAAACAATCAACCAAGGATAAATTACATCTGTTACAAATGGTAAGTGCAGTAAGCGAATATCGTGTTTAAAGATATATGCGCACCAAAAATTTCGCATACGTACGCGCGCACTAAATTTCTAGTTATTCACACTTTTACCTTCATACTATTGAAAATAATTTTACATTCTTTTATTTATTCTGAGTATTGGTTGCCAAAATATTTTGCATTCTCTGTGGTTGTTTTTAACATTATTATTGTTAAAATCATAATATGCAAAAACTTAATTAATACCTGACAAAGAATTTTTTCAGTATATCTTTACTTTTGAGAAAATAATTACGAAAAAGTTCTTTCTTTCGTTATCTTTCCATATCTATCTCAAACATTACCGTTGCTCCCTAAACTAAAATTAATAATGACGACTCCAAAGACTTTAGGTTTCTGGGAACTATTCAAATATCGAAAGCCAGTGATATTTTATGGTGGCAAATTGCATTTCGTCGAACGAAACTCGGCACATGAAAATAAAGAGTCCAGGAATTATGCGCTTTTTCGCGTGTACAATCTAAAGGTATTATCAGTCAACTCGACTATGAATTCTATTTGGTTTTTGATTAATGAATTATTCAATTGATCGATGAATTCTTTTCTAGTGTTCGCTTGCGAAATTGCGTCAAGAAATAATTTCTATTGTTGGCCTATCGACAAAAATTGAATTCACGCATAGTTCAGCATATGCGAAAAGTTCCATGCAATCTTTGGGTGATGAGAACACAAATACATCAAAATGTGATGTGGTGAAGGTATAAATTGCTTAAGAAGTTTAAAGGCTTTCAAATTTCAATTTACGATCTTTGAAACAATTTTTCAGATTAGAATACTATTCAGAAATAGTACACACCAAACTGTAATCAATCGTCTATACTCATCGTTAGCAATACGAGAATTGACAGAAAACGGATTCAACGATTGGATCCCACTGGACATTACATCATACCACATAATAGAGCCAACGTGGCGTCTAATTGTGGTTTCTACGGATAATTGGCCACCACACAGTGACGTTGTTAAGCAGACACTCTTGACGTCTGGCATTGACGATATTATTCGTAAACAAAACACGTATCAAGGATTAGCGGAATTGTTTCATGGACAAGTTTATAAAGTAGAGCGTGATAATAATCATGGTAGTGGAAATGCTGCCGATCCTTTGATCGTGGTGGAGACGAGAACTTTTAATTCGAATCCGGTGTTTGTTGAAGTATATAATTGGATTTTTGAGTATGGAATGCTGAATGAAGAGGTATTTGTTTATTTTTTTTGTGTTCTTTTGGAAATATGAATCATTATTTATTATTAATACGATGTTTTCGATTTTGAATTGAACTTCATAAGAATCTCGATACGTGTTTTATTTCACTGCTAGTTAGTTCATTAAATGTATACACATCACTTTTTTGCCTAAATGATGTTTATGAAAATCTGAGTACTCATGGATGGGGCTCATTTGGAAACACCATCTTCAAAGGGGAAAGTCCAAATGTCACATTGATAAAACGGATAATTAATCTTGAGCAAGTGTTGACAGAAATCCAGTTGGATTCGTTTAAGAGTAAGTATTTTATTATTTCTTTTTTTCTTTCTGAATAGAATTGATCTGATTGATTGGTTAAATTTTATTATTTATTAGATCATACATATAAACTTCATGACGCTATTGACCGATTAACAAGTCTTTTCGAAAAAGATGCAAAAGATCTTGAGATGCGCACCAGGATTTATATTGTGCGGAAATTGAGAATTTTATTGATGTTTGTACTAATGTAAGTGTAAAATTCTTATTTAATTTTTTGGGGAGAGAAAATACTGAATTTGGATTATTTTACGACTCTAAATATTATTATTTTTCATGCACAATGACAGGACCGCTATATTCACAATTGTTGTGGTGTATCATTATTGGAATATGCAACAGAGACTGTTTTCGATTCAAGAGGTAAGGGAAAATATAACAAAGAATTTGCTTCAAATATGGTTTCTAAACATTAATTGATGAAACATAAAAATTATAAATAGATGACTTGGCTATTCTGTGTACTATCGATCTTCACTTTTATCATACTATACACCAAACAAGGGATCAACAATTACGCAAGGTTCTCTGCATGGTTTATGAAAGCTGCGCAGCTTCATCGCGAGACAGTCAAGGATGTGCTTTGGGACCTTCGAGAGAATCTTAATCGCGTGTCCGAAGAATCTGCAAACAACAGCAAGAGAAATAGCAACAGTTTTAACAATAGGAATAGTATTAGTGGTAAAGGAAATGAAAGCAGTATCGTAGATTTGAATGGGCGTGAACTGGTGCTTCGTTATGTGCTCAATTGTATTGTAGATGTTTGTAGTGATTTGCGTGACACTATTTCGAATTTCGGAGAAATTTAGATTATTAGATTATTTATCGTTATTTGCTTTCTTTGGTATAGAACATTTATCTCCGATCAGATATATTTTGAAATGCTGAAATATTTTATTATTGATTTTTTAGTTAGTAGTACAAAAAAATTACGTAGCAAATTATTACTAGTCATAGCTCGCTTCAACAAAAACTAAATTATTATAGAAATAGTTATTTTTGTTTTTTTTTAAAAAAAAGGATCAAAAGGCAAAAATGTCTAAGTAACAATAAAATATTATATTATACACTATTAGAACAAATTACACGTATTAACACCAACAATTCATTAAAAATCTTTGACCTAAATAACGTTAACATTCTACACCTACGCCCCAGATACATGTATCTACTTTTGCAAATTGATATTACGGGGTCAAGCTTTTCTTATTCCCTTGCCCATTTGATATTTCTGACCTGCTCGCACGCAAGTTAACATTTCCTTATAAGAAAGAAAAATATGCTTTAAGTTTCGATGTGTCTAAAAAAGTATGATAGGCCCTGCAAATACGTACGTACGTGCATTTTTTTACATGTTACTGTCACGGGTTGATCGTGATTAGGCGTAATCGACGATTTTACCTATAACAATGGGTTGGGGGAGTAATTAGACTGAGTAGTACTTGACCGTTTCTAATTCCCGTGCCGATATCTACAGATATCGTTTCAGTATGACGGTAGAGAGGGGTGAGATGGTTTTGGGTTTATGTTTTATGTTATGTGACGGGTTATTGACAATGTTCTTCTTATTAACTTCCAATCGTTGCTTTTTCTAGCTAAAAGCCTTAAACTTGTTCAATCACCAAGCGCTTTTTCAATCAATATGCCGTTTAACAATATAAATGCCTTTTCTGGACTAAAGGACCTAACTACAATCAATTACAACAATTTTACAAGTCTAATTTTACTTGGAAAAGAATTGTACACAATTTAATTCTGTTCTTTTTTTATTAACATCCGCGAGGACTATATATACATTTTTTGGTTACATTATTTCGAAACTCATTGCATAATGCATTCTATTGTTTAAGAGAGAATTTAAAATAGAAAAAGAAAAGCAAGATCTAAAGCGAAATTAAGATAGAAAACAAAAACGAAATAAAAATAGAAACCAAAAGCGAATTTAGGATAGAAAATAAAGATAGAAAACAAAAATAGAATTTCAAAAGCGAATTTAAATTAACGAAATCGGGCTAGACGGTTTTTACCAAAATCGAATCTATTATTAACCCGGTAACATTACGTTATGCAAGTAGATCAGCAAAATTAATAGATTTTTCTTATGAATTGTAAAGAAGCTCTCTATACAGCAACACTACACTTCTCATGCTACGTTTTAGCACTATTTTGAAAATGACATTTCTTTTCTTGTAAAATAATTAGCTCTTGAAAATTGCACTGTTATTACATGTAATGTACTTGTCCTATAACAATCTGATTTTTGTTATTGAATTGTAAAAAACTCTATACAGCAACACCTTATACTACATTTTGGTACTATTTTGAAAATGATGTCTCTTTTCTTAGTAATTGGCTTTAATTTTACTAATGATCTTTAATTTTGATTTAGTCCATGAAACACCCCCAATGTGCAAATTTGCTTATAGAGTTTAAATTACTTATTTTTATCAATATTGGTGCCTCTTCTAATTTGTAAAAAATACAAGCGCAAAGATTGCGTTAACGTGACCGCCCTTTATGCTCATCAGATTCATAGCAACGTCCGAAAATAATGAGATAATTTTATTTTACTTTCTATATTTAAAGAAATTTTGGAATTTTTCAATATCAGCAAATCAGTGTCACTGTAATTGTTGGGTGAGAAAGTTGGGATTCGAAAATATTCGTGAAATAGGTATAATGCTAGTTGTATCGTGGTTATTTATGCACGCCATATTTTGTTAAAGTGTTTGTTTTTATGTAGTTCAAGTAAGTACGAAAAGCAGAATATTCATTGTGCTCGCCATAGTAAATCATCAAGGCCTGAAACCCATAAGAATTATAAATGTTCATAAATTAAACGCTCATAATGAATATTATTAATATGAATAAATTACTGTTGCATATTACATTCGAAAATAAAATTAGGCAGTACATGTACGTATTAGAGTGAGATCAAAATTATGCGGACACTTTATAAAGTAAAATAACACAAAATCTAATGAGAAAATCTTATTTCATGAATTATCGCTTTCATCACCACTTCCTTGCAATATAGCCAGTTCTCGATAATCCATTTAGGCGATGACAACACTATAAAAACCAGACTACAAATTACAAAACCGCATTAACTTATCACAGTCCATTTTTTTCTAAATTCATATCGAATAGACAGTTGATATAAAAAGCAGAAATAGCAACGATAAAAATTGTGATGGATACTTTTTCGGTGTTCACGCTGTGTTGATAAAAGGCTGTTATCACTATTTGTGGTAGACGACGAAGACGAAAGATAAACCGTGATAGTAAATCGAAAAATTGCAATCTGCGTAAACACTACAACAAAAATTTTGTGTCAAATAAATAGAAATGTTGATTCTCGGCCATTTAGGTGCTGAAGCCACCGGCTGTGCAAATTTTTGTGCATTTTTCAGCTTTACCAGCTCTGCCATCCATTGAAATCTTCAAGCTGATTAGTTGTCAAATTCACGGAGCCGGCTGGCTAGCCAGCCAGTCACTAAATGGCTCTGATCACTAGTCTTGTTGTAGTTTCAAAAAATGTGAATTTGACAAGTTTATTAAGCAATTTTATTAAGCAATAATTCCTTTTCATGTGTTGATTTCGAATGAGATTGCGCAGCACCATATTCCAAAATAAGAAATTTCTCGTTCGCAATGAAGCATTGTTCAAGTTGTGTGCGCATATCTGTCGGCATCCACAGGTAAAAAATGATAAAAAACGCGTAAAATAATAAGATGCTGATGAAAATAAAACGCCAGAAAATTTTCATATGATTAATTTTTTTTCCAGTCTTTAGTATTTATTTACAATAACATAATGGCTCGATTAAGTGCACAAAAAACAAGGGTCATAGTATTTTAAATGCAACATTGCATTAATTACCGATTGTAGTAGTATTGAGATATCCTTTCACGAACGATCTTTTTAGATGCCTATTCATTGAACTATCTGTTTCTGGAGGCGAGTCTTTGCAAAAATCATGTTTCAACATGAGAAATTTGACACCGTGGCGTTGGTGCTGGTGGTGACTGCCATTTTGCCTGACTAACGGTGGTGATGGTGCTAGTACTGTTGGATTTGATTGTTGCAAAAGGGATCCGTTCAAAAGATGAATAGTCGGTTATCCACGGCTTCCCAGGTAAAATTATTTATTCCAGTTTACCAAGTATGCCAATGAGGAGGTGGTAATTGACTAGTGTGGCGAAAGAATAAAAGCGATAGCGAGGTGCTAAAAAAAGATCTGACATTTTCGAGGCAAACCAATAAATGAACACCAAAAAGATGCGATACTGAACCAAACTCAACCTTGATTATAAATTAGTATAAATTACCCTCTGGAGTTTTTGATTTTTTCCCATTTTTTGCTCTTTCTGAAATCACTAAACAGTGTAAGAAACATTAACGAGAAACTAAAACCAACATCCTTTTCTTTTTTAATTATCACATTTTTTATTAGATTGCCAATATCTTTATTTTTATTACATTAACATTGACAGAAATACGCATTTAAGATTAGGAAAAAATATCTAAGTGTTTTGATATCAATGTTCAACATTCCGATCCCGAACACTAGTTCGGGAGCCAATTTTTTTTATTTGCAAAACTTTATGACAATCAGTATAGTGTAATATAAATAGTATATGCAATTTCATGCTTTAATGTGTTGGAATTTTGAATTGTCATTTTTTAACATTTCAGGATTTTGAACCATCGGGATGTTAGTGGTCAGGATATTAAGCATTCATTCGGAATGTAGGCTTTCAGGATGTAGGCTTTCGGGATGTTATCTTTTAGGCATATGGGATGTTGGAATTGTATATTAGACAGCACCCCTTTTTATGTTGTTTTTTTCTGATGTCGACGTTAACGTCGACATCGTCTTCACTATTATTGTTCTCATGTTTTTGTTATTGCTGCTATCGTCGTCGTCATCATCATCTTTATTTTTATTGACATCATTTTTGATGTCGTGGTCACTTTTGTCATTATCACTTTCACCGTCGCTTTGGCCCTTTCGGGTATGATCTATTAAGCGATTCTCATTGAGCTCATTGAGAATACCCCGTTTGACAACCAGATCTGGCCCCTAATAGCGACCTGTTCGACAACAAAGTTTATCTTATTTATATTTTCATCATTAAAAAATTATAATAAATCTATAAGTGAAAGTAATACTTACTCTAAATTCATCCTCTTTTTTTTTTGTTTCGATCCGAGTTATCGATTATACAGTGGCCCGCATAAATAACGCACCACTCGCATTGTCAATCTTTAATCACATAATCCTCAATCACGTAAGATCCGACAAACACACAAATGATAAAATAAGCAATAGCTAACCTAACTATATATGTAAATAAAAAATTAACAGACATTGTTATTCCCAATCATCTGTAATAATCGTTAGTCCCCCTAAACACCGGTGCGTTTTTTTTGCTGTTTTTGTAACGAAAATTTATTCATTCAACATATTTTATTAAAAATGATATATAAAATAAAAAATTTATACAAAACCTTATTTTTACCACCTCGTATAACCCCCCTTCGCTTTGATCACATCATCAATCCTTTCCGGCATCGTATTAATTAGAT